AAAAAAAAAAAAAAAAAAAAAAAAAAAAAAGAAATGTTTGTTCATATTCTTCATTTTCTCACTGGATTTTTTTTATATGTTGAATTTTGAGAGTTCTTTATATGTCCTAGATACTAGTCTTTTGCAGGATATGTGGTTTGCAAATATTTTCTCTCAGTGTGTAGCCTTTTTATCCTCTTAACATGGTCTTTTGCAGAGCAAAATTTTAAATTTTGATGAACTCTAATTTATCAAATTTTCCTTTTATGGATTCTGCTTTTGGTGTCAAGTCTAAGAATCTTTGCTTAGCCCTGTTTACTATTTTTTCCATAGTATTATGGCTTTACATTTTGTATTTATGGATATTATCTCTTTTGAGTTAATTTTTGTGTTAGGTCTGAAGCTTAGTCTGAGGTTCCTTTTATTTGCCTATGGATGTCCACTTCCTCCAGCACATTTATTGAAAACACTATCCTCCCTCTGTTGAATTACTTTGTACCTTTGCAAAAAAATCAGTTGAGCATATTTGCATGGGCTTATTTCTAGATTCTCTATTTTGTCCCATTGATCTTTGTGTCTGTGCCTCCACCAATACCACATTGTCTCGAGCCTTATGATAAATCTTTGTATTGGGTAGAGTGATTTCTCCTCCTTTCTTCTTTGAAAAGATTGCTTTAGCTATTCCAAAGCCTGTGCCTTTCCATATAACAATTAACATAAGCTTGCATATATCACAAAAATCTTGCTGGGATTTTGATAGGAATTGCATTAAACCTAGAGATCAATTTGGGGAGAGTTGACATCTTTGACTGTTTTGTGTCTTCCAATCCATAAACATGATATATTTCTTCATTTGTTTAGGTCTCTGATTTCTCTCATTAGCATTTTAAAGATTTCAGCATATAGATCTTGTACATGTTTTGCTAAGTTTATACCTACATATTTCATTTTCTTTGGAGTATTGTAAGTGGTATTGTGTTTTTAGTTTTGGTTTTCACATGTTCATTGTTAACAGATAGAAATGCGATTGAATTTTGTGCACTGATCTTGTATCCTGAGACCTTGATGCACTCACTTATTAGTTCTAGGAGCTTTTTTAAAAAACAGATTATTTGGAATTTTCTAGGTAATCATGTCATCTATAATAAATAGGAATACTTTAATTTTTTTCCTTTCAATCTGTATGCATTTCATTTTCTTTTCTTGCCCTATTGCCATGTCTAGAACTTCCAGTACAGTCTTTATAATTTTAATCAATGTAAATTTCTAGATATTTGCAGAAACATACTTGTCTGAATAGGGCCCATAAGACTCAAACCTATGAATTTTCATCACTATTCTTAATATCTAACCTGTTCAGATTTCATTTCCTGTAATTTGGATAAATATCTGGTTACATTCAGCAGTGGTTATAAATGGCACCCATGGTGCAAAGCCCTTTGAAGTAGCAGTGACCTTTAGCAAGCTAAATGGAACCTGACTATAAAAGCAAACTTAACACAGGATCATTATCTCTAGGACAGGACCAGGAGGCAGTGTTGTGCCAAGAATTCAAGTTTGAGGTTGGCTTATGGAGCATTTTTTGAGCATGTGGTTTGTTCTTTCAGCTTTCTCCCCTTCCCTCTAAATTGGTGGTAGCAATAATTTTAAACTCTGAAAATATGAAAGGTACCTTATTCTTATGTATTAGAAATCACCATTGTTAGGAACTGTTTTGAAAACTGGCTTGTGACAAAGAATTCTGTGCATCTTACTATGTTTTTAGTAATAGGTAGTTAAAAATAATATTTTGACAATTCAAACTCTCTTCATGTGTTATTTTGTTAAACAAAAATATAACCATTAATAACACTTTTAGTTATTTTTAAAATGCATATTTCCTACATATAATGAAGTGGTTTTATGGTATACAACATACCTAACCTACCAAAGAGAGTTTATAGCCATTACAGAAAGACAGAAAACTTGGGTACTGCTAGATCCGTTACAGGTTTCAATTATAAGAGATCTTGGATATGTAAACATATGTCCATGTAGGCCTTGCAAGTGTACACATGTAGTCTAGTTTATTGCAAACCCCAGGAGCTCCTGCATATAATTTGCAGAAAAATTTTAAATCTGTAGTAAGAATCAAATTTCAGAGACATTTTGCAGGGGGAGGAGAGCAGTGAGAAATCTTCAGGCAAATTAGTCATTCTCTTTCACAATCATTTTACTAATTTTTCCTGGTTCGATGACTACTTGTACATTTCAGTAACTCTTTTGTTCTTAAAACTGGAAGTTTACTTTACTGATTGTTCCAGGTTCAATGACTACTTGTGCATTTCAGCAACTCTTTTGTTTTGAAAACTAGAAGTTTTCTAGGTATCACTCCATCCATTGTGTGCAGTGAATTCTGGAGTCCATCCCTTGGGATGCTGACTTAGTCTCTCTGAGCCTCAGGTTTCTTGTCTGTAAGTGGGAATGATGACATGCATTTCACTGGTTGTTGGGCTTAAATGAGATGATTTCTGCCAAGGGCCCGGCCCAGGGCTGGGCAGAGAGCAGGCCGGCAGTTGCCGACTTCCTCCCTCCCTCCCTTCCTTCTCTTGTCTGGTGCCTTTGCTTTCCCGGTATCATCCTCCCCTCTCCTCTCCACGCACCACAGAATGAGGTCTTCTTATTTTGGATGCCACTCCTCATGCGTGTGGAAGGGGAACCCTCATCAGAAGTGTGAGCAGCAGGGACCTGGGAGCTTCATGCTGAAGCTACCCTTCCTCTGTAATGCACTACCGAGGCCCGCTTACATAGAGTAGGCGCTCTGTAGGTTTTTACACTGGTTTGCATGTTACAGTGGGGGGAAAAGCTCCACACATGACCAATATATTCTAGCAAATGTGACCAAATAATGCATTTGCAATCCAGTAGCAGGATGAATAATCCACGGACAAATAGTTCTCCACCCTCACCCTAAATACGATGTAGTGGCCACATGATGCCGGCTCACCTTCTTTGTGGTTGCAATGAGCTTAGACCCAAGACTCTGCCTTTGGCACAGCAAGCGACGACAGCACTCTCATGACACAAAGCAATCACATTGTATGTACAGGCATCATGTTTCCTTAAACAATGGAACAGCAACGGTCTCAACATGTCATCTTGACAACCAACGATGACTTCCAAATAGGTGAGTCTGGATCGAATACAACGTAAACAAAGACTATCTATGTGAAGTACCTATGTGAGTCGGGGATCTGCAAGCGACCACTTTCATCTCAAATCCAGCACAGGCTTCCCTGTTCTCCCTCTCTCATTCTGCTATAGGGATGACAGGGCTCTCTGAACCCTGCAGCAAAGAGACAGCGGTCGACAGCTGTCTGGCAGCATCACTTAAAATGTTTTTATTTGAACACAAATGCCGAGGGTCTTCTTACTCCATCAGGCCTTTCTGGGAACTGCTTTGAAATATTCTTCCCTTGAAATGTCGGAGACTCCTCCATACCATTTCTGAAGCCAGATATGTTCTATCCTCATCTTCATAAAGAACCATTCATACTGACGAGGCCACTTCCTCATCCCTGGGTGTCTGCAGGATAAAGGGAGGTCACAATAAAGCTGTGCACCTGATAAGGCCAGGTGAGAGGAAGAACCCCTAGACTGCAGGCCTCTCTGGGGCTGAGCACTGCTCAAAGCAGCCAGAGGCAGAAGCTGAGGAGCCAGGCAGTGGAGCCTGCACAGCCTGAGGTCCCTATACCAGGCGGCTAAAAGCTCAAGTCTGGTGCCAGGCTCCTGGGTTTGAATCATAGTTAAACTGCTGATGAGCCATGGTGCCTTGTGGGCTGTTGGCTCTCTCAAGCCCTGGTCTCCTCACCTGTCCTGTGGGTGATGTTGATGGTGCTCGGATCATAGGGCTATGTGGGGAGCAGTGATGTATGCATAAAACACTGGCAGAGAGCAGGTGCTCAGTGGGTGCTGGTCATTGTCACTAGGAAACATAAAGAAAGGCTCACTGAATCCCCGTATGAAATGTTATCCTAATGGTGAACCCATGAAACATCTCTGCTCATGGGAAGATTTCTATTCCTTCAGCAAGCTTGTCACTGTTCAGCCAAGTTGAGAGCCAGCCAGAGTGGACAGGGAATGTCCCATTCCACCTCTGCTACTAACCAACCTGCCTTCTCCCTGACGCAGACCCTTAGACACTCTGTAATATCCTTGAGGGCAGGGGGACGTGGTTCATTTTTTAAATCTTCATTTAAAAACCATCTTTTTAATATCTAAAAATGTTATGAATATAATTTAAAGACCAAGTCCAAACTGGGAAAAACATTTGTAGCAAAGCAAATGCAATAACAGGTTGATATTTTTTAAAAAATTTATCTTGAAATAATCATAAATGTTGAGAGATATTGAAAGTACATATAAAGAACTAGCTTATTTTCCTAAAACATTTGAAAGTAAGTTGCTGATCTGATGCCCCAACACTGCAAGTAGTCATGCAGCGGAGATAATAAAATGATTGTTGATATTTTAAACAACCTAGTTTTGTACTGATAACTGGAACAAATTTTATTACCTAGAAGTGGGTGGGGTGCAGGTGTAACAAACCCTAATCCAAGGGGCTCAGCCATGGGACCAGGCAGTGGGTGGAAGCTGGAAGAATCTTGATGAGACTAACAGCCGGGGCTTAAAAGAAGGTAAGGAAACCAACATCAGGGGAAGCTGGAGGTGAAGAGGCCCACGTTATGCAGTGGCTGCAAATTTGGCAGCACTGTTGTCTGCGGCAATGTGCAAAATAGGAGGTGAGCCTAATGAACCCGATGCCCTTTTCTCACTGCTTGTAACAACATGTGAGAGGGGAGAGGGGAGAGAACTAGGGAATGACGCCGAGTTTGGAAGCAGCGGCAAGCATGCACATGCACATGCACGAACGCACGCACATCTACGCCTATTGCTCTACCTGCCTGTGAACTGAAAACCGAGCTCATGTCCCGATTGTTCTAGTTCTCCATACTCGGTCGGTCGGTGCGGGTGCTCGGTCTCCGCGGCGTTGTGGAGGGCTCCTCCACTCACCGCCCGCCTTCCCCTTACTATCCACCAACGCACGGGTGCAGTCTGCTTGCCTCGCCTCGCTATGCCACTCCGAGCTCCAGCTCCGGACCCCGCTCCGGGCCCCACCCCGCAGCCCCCTGCAGGGACACCGTCCCCCCGGTGGGCCACACTGAGATGCGCCGCTCCAGCGCCTCCGCAGGCACCGCGCTCTGCCTAGGGTGGGCGTTGGACGATGTCTGCTAGGAGGGCTCAGTTCTTTTGATTGCAAGGCAGGGCACTGTCACAGGTTGGAAGTACACAGCAATTGTGCCTGGAACACCTCACGTGGGGTGCTCTCCAAAGGCAGCCTCAGCCCGCTGAAGGCCACCGTCTGCCTGGCCTCTGCAGCCGCCGATCACTGTCACTGCGTTACAGGCATCGAGCGGCACAGCCCTGATATCTACTTTTTATTACTGTATATTTATAGGCAAACCAATTTTAAAGCATCTACAAACCTTGAAAACATGGCCTGCTTGGCAAATTCTACTTCTTCTGGAGACACCGCCATCATCCGGCCAGTGAGCGTCAACCGGGCACACCTGGGGTCTTCCGGGTCGACGATGTTTTTTCTGCATGTGAAGAAGATATTAAAACAATGATGGGACATCAGCCTGAGATACTAAGGATTGTATTAAAAATGGAAAATAGTAGTCACATTACTAGTTATATCATTCAGGTTTTTATGTTGTCTATCATGACTTTAAAATACTCCGGCGTGGGCCGCCCCGTGGCGCACTCGGGAGAGTGCGGCGCTGGGAGCCCGCAGGGACGCTCCCAACCCGGGTTCGGATCCTATATAGGACTGGCCGGTGCGCTCACTGGCTGAGCACCGTGCGGGCGACACCAAGCCAAGGGGTGCGATCCCCTTACCAGTCACAAAAAAGACAAAATAATAATAATAATAATAATAATAATAATAATAATAATAATAATAATAAAAATAAAATAAAATAAAATACTCCGGCGTTAGCATTGTGATAGGTGTGTTTGCCTAAGTTAGATGTCAGTCTGCATCCTGGGGCAGTTAGATAACACCTGAGACCCCCCCTAGTCAAGATGGCAATGCCTGAGTGGAGGAAATGGGAAGTTGTTATGCAAAGGAGATAACGTTTCAGTTACGCTAGATGAGTAAATTCT